CTAGAACAGAATAAAACAGAGATTTTGTTTAATGTAAAGAGACAAAGTTCCTACATAAGGAATACGTGGAAAGAAATCACCAGACACGAGAGCAGACAAGAGACGAGAATAGCAGGATCGAAGAGAGAGCGTCTCAAGAACGAGTGAAGTGTTTCTGAGTCGGTCAAACACTGAATCCAGGTTTCTCGAGGCTTCCTCTTATATACCAAATCTTCCCCAAAAAGATCGACGTCACATGGATTACAGCACTGTCTCTTACAGTGTTAACTATAGTTACAAATATTATAAAATACCACCGTTTACTTAATAATACTTAATAATACTTAATAATAAAATATTCAAATATTATATATACCGAAAGTATCGTACAATTCTAAAATCGATATCCAAAGAAATTTCAAGCTCGAGAAATTTTATATCGAAATATGGATCTTATATATTTTTAAACTTTTACTGGAAATTTTGAAACGGGTGTTTAAATTATTCGAATTTTAAATAGTAAGCTTTTTCTAAGTGAACGCATAAAGAACATACGCATAATTAATGTTTTGTATAATATTCAACTTTTACTAAAAGAAATAGGACCAAATAACAGACGATGTATTTTCAAGTGTTCTCGAGAAATAATGGCGAGATTTTGGCACCATAACGACTTTCAGCACGACTTCCGGACAGGGTGGTGGCATGCGCTTGCTCCGTTAACATTAATACGTTGGACGTCGCGTAAAACTGGTTGCTTTACTGCGATACGAGGGAAACGTGCGGATCGTAAGAACTTCGTTACCACTGTCGCGGGAAATTGCACCAACTCGCGAAAAAACCCGTCGCACCCTGTAAATTTGCCATTATTAAATTCGACAAGGACGAACGAGGCAGGAAAAGCGGTCCGCCTAATTCCAGCCAGAGCGAGTTCTTGCTTCTAGAAACGGGGGAAAGATCCTTTCTGCTTCTTTTTCACCAATTTCTTCTCTTCTTTCATCTTTATCCAATATTTTCTTCCTATTCTAAGTGTAATATGTCATATATTCAGCGTTTTAATATTCCCACTGATGTTCCTATTCATAAGTATCACGTGTGCAAATTTACTGGTTTGCAAACTGTACAGGGACAAACTCCAGATACGTTCAATGATAGACGTGCAAAATACGGCCGTACTTTTTTTAAAGGGTAAATACACCGTTTCTGTGGAAAATTTACAAATATTCAGGCAAGTGTGTCGCATAGAAATGAAGTTTTAAGTTTCAGTAGGTAAGAGAAATCGGTTAAATATGCTTTTTACCTTTTATTTTTGATCAAAGAATGTGATGATTCAAAAGAGCCTTCGAGTCAAGATTGAAGCTGCCCTGATAGAATCATGAATATTGATGTTTGTCCCGAGTCGTCGCGGATGAAAATGATGGAGCAGCAAGCTGGTGTAATGAGTTATTCAAATTTTGTTTATGCCTTGTAAAATAGAGAGTATCAAACTAGGTTGCGAACCTTTGAATCCTGAAAACCTTTCACAGCAATATTCCCAAATTCCGAATTGCGATTTAACCACTACGTTTGAGTAAAAGAATAAAATAATAATAAAATAAAGTAGAATAAGCTCGGCCATAACAATAATATATTGGTTAACATATTTAACACTCGTTACACTAGCTTCTCTACTAAATATACGCTTGCAATAAATATCTTGTAATATCTACGTATTTTTAGATTTGTTCCAAGTCTTTTGCTTTCTAAAAGTATTTCAATATTTTCGTGAGTTACTGTAGCTTGACTAATCTGTACGAAGTTTATCGATCGTTCGTTTTACGCGCAAGAAAGCCTCGATTCGCTTGACACGAGCGACGGAACACAGCTGTAAGCTGCAACGAAAGAACCGCACCCTCGTCAGTTTGTACGCGCGAAACCGCTGCGCGAAACGAGGCGTGTTCGCGAGAATCCCCTAGGGATTCTACCGTTCTTGATCCCTGTTAGTTTTCGTTGCTTCTTGCGAGCTATGCGGCTAGCAGTTTAAATCGAGTCCGCGTCATCGGAACGAGCACGCAATTATGCTTTTTTCCGCTAGTCGGTCGCTTCTTCCGCCTCGGGACTTCCCGATTCCTCCACGAGAACCACGAATCTCGAGCTTTCTCTAAACGTGATGAGGGTGGAGTGAGGTTTTTCTTCACTCCCCCTCCCCCTGCTGTCAGCCTTGAGGAACAAAAAGCTAGATTCTCGAATTTTCTTTAGCAGACGCTCCAGTCGAACTGTTTCGCCTGTTTCCGACGGAATTTTGGCCATTTCTCTACGCTTTTTAGCGTTTCATATCCTTCTCGGTTATTTTTGTCGTTGACAGATATTATGGTATTATTGATTCAACTTTTGTCAGTTAATTAGTTTCAAATTATTTCACGATCGTATATCGGAAGGAACCTCTGTATTTCTTTGATGTTTTATTATACCTGAACTTACAGATTGATTTAACAGTTTCTAAATTTTCTATTCAGATCTTACTTTATCAGTCACGAGGAAGATATTCTTTCATATAACAAAGGATTATAAAATTTTGACTATCGTGTTTTATCGTCCATCGATACGATTCTTTTACGTAATAAAAAAAAAAAAAAAAAAAAAAAAAAAAAAAAAAAAAAAAAAAAAAAAAAAAAAAAAAAAAAAAAAAAAAAAAAAAAAAAAAAAAAAAAAAAAAAAAAAAAAAAAAAAAAAAAAAAA